CAGTTATTTATTTGTAAAAAATGTTTGGAATCATGTATGATTTTCATTCCACTTCTCACGTGTACACCACTTTGTGTTGGTCTTTCACGTGGAATTCCAATAAAATTGATTCATGTTTGTGGGTGTAATGTGACAAAATGTGCGAAAGTTCAAGGGGGCTGAATACTTTTGCAAGCCACTGTATAATTTAAAAAGAAACTGGAGTAATGAAACAAAATAATGGGGATTAAAATGTACTTACTATTATTCTTTTGACCCAATTTTGACCCTAAAATTGTCCAATAGCCTGTAATTAATAGGAAATCATTTTTGGATGTGTGATGATCAGAGCTATAACTAAATATCTGAGTTGGCTGCAGAAGATTTTCAGATTTTATATTTGGCCCATAATGAAAATTCAAATCTTAAGTGGACTTTGACTTTTATTCCAGACTAGATTACCTCAAAATATTTCCTCTTTTGTTCGATCATTTCATTTGTTAATATACATCCAGTCCTGCATTTCAGGCCTGCATCACATTTTTAAAACAAGCTGGAATAATGGTAAATGTGGGCTAATAATGTCGCAATAATTGCAATAATAAAATAATGATGTGAAATGAGAAAGGTGATATCAATGGGTGACTGTAATCATGATTTGGTATTAAAAAAATGAAAAAATATAAGAATTGTTTAAAAGCAATTGCATATTTCTCCGTCTAAAGTGCATAAAACCATGAAATGGTTCAAGGAATCTGCAGAAATGCCAGTCTCTAAAAGGCCAGACCAGAAAAAGATTAAATATTTTGAGATAATGGCTAAAATCAAACAAAAGTCAAGGTGAACTTAAGAATCACCAACTTCTTCTTTTATTTAAGATCTGGCTGATTAAAGACTTTTCGTGTTGCTTTTCAGGACCTTTTGCTGTGTTTTGTTTTTTACTCTGTTTGGTCGTCGTCTATTCCTCTCTTTATGACTCCTGAAGTGTTTCTTTTTTTTCGTCACTGGAGTTTGCTGTGACAGAAAACAGAAGCATGTTGTAAACTAACAGAACATATGACTTAAAACTGATTACTACAGCCAAACAGGTGCTGGAGGCTTCGGTGTATTAGTGTAGTCAGTTTACCTCTGTATATGTTTCTGGCTGGTTCAGCAAATGAAGTGGGAGTCCTTCTGAATCTGAACTATCTGAGCCACTTGTGCTATGAGAGCAAAAGAAAAATGTTTGCAGTCAGGCTAATTCAGAAAATATTCTCCCAATCTCACATTGCCCAAGTATGGTTAGTATGGATAAAATATATCTTTTTATCACCTGGTTTCGAGATCAGAGCTGTTGCCCAAATCTTGGCCCAGTCTTTCTCTGAACTCCTTTTGCAGCAATGCCAATTCTGTCAGACAGTAAGTGATCTCAAATAAAAAGCACAGACAAAATTAAAATAATTGCATACGTATACAGTCACTATATCAAAACACAAGTATCCAGGATTATTATTAACGGTCATACAATAGCAACTAGACTGAATTGGAGCTTACTATAGTATATGTTTTTATATTTGCTTAATCGCTCACCTTTATTGGATCAGGGTCACAATAGTCCAGGAGGGTGTCACACAGGTGAAAACCCAGGGACTTCAAGTCTTGAGTAGTAAAATGTGTTCCTCTCCTGTCGCCTAAGAGTTCAGCAAATTATAAATCCGCTTACTTGATATGTGCAAGCTTACAAAAAACATGCACATCTTCAGAAAGTTTTTCACTCACCCAAAGAGGAGCCTCCAAAGGTGGCCTCCATGGTGTAGCTGTTTATGATGCCAAGTCTCCACATGACGATTCGTCCTGTGCCCTCTTTGCTCTTCTGCACCCGGAATTTACAGCTGTTAAAGGAGAACTAAGAAAAGAACAGTGTATATGAAATATCAAGAGTTTGATAGGTAGTAAACTTGAAGTTTAAATACTGGTGAGTGACAAACAGGTGGGTAAGGTAAGGCCCATACAACCACAGAAAAAAATGTAGAACTTTAATCTTAAAAGTCAGCAACACTGTTTGAAAGCCCTCAGACAAAATACACTTTACCTTATTGCTAGCATTCTTGCTCATCATTAGTGGAAAGACTCTCGCGTGAAGTTTCAGTGTAGAGTCGGCTTTGTTTTTGCAGCCATACATGAAGACATTGTTTTTTCGGCTGTGACCATGAAAATCACAGTAAAGAACTACATCTCTTTCGGCCAGTAATCTGAGGAAAATGCAGCGTGGCAGAGATTTCAATTAAGAAACAAATTCAGTCAACATTCACAATCAAAAAAGAAAAAAGAATTTAAAAATTGTGTATGCACAGGCTGTTTGGTAATCATCATATTTGAAATGCATTGGAAAGCCTGAGGCACTTCAAAGGAGAAATATCTTGAGCTTGATTAAGCAACTCTAAACATGTCAAAAATGATTTATTTTTTTTGTTAGCATTTAGCATTTTTTTTTTATCAAGTCTAGGGATGCACTGATACCGATACTGGTATCGGGTATCGGGGCCGATACTGTAAAATGTGTGTGTACTCATACTCGTAAAAG